TTCAACTAATACTAGGTTTGAGGGTGTTTATATAATTTCATTATCATTAGCCATCATGTAACCACCTTCTTAGTTATTCCTCTGAAAGCAGTTATCCAAAAAACGATGGGTGATGACTTCTAATATCAACGAATTTCATATACTATTTGTCTATATACGTGCTGAATTATTATGTAAAATTGATTTATATGGAACGATAATAATTTCATGGGGTGTGCGATAGACTTACCTCCACGTGGTACACCCTGGGCAACGTAAACTCATACGACAAAAAGGTCTATTAACTGGCAGTTGACTTCTGACTTCAAACTACCCTCACCCCATTGTATGTCATATTCTACTACTTTCACAGTACTCACCTCACCTTTTCTACTTTTGTGTCTGTCTCTTTTACATATTTGAAACTCTCTTCTGTCCCCCCTCTCCCTCTCGACTTGTTTCACTTTGATATTCCTCCTCCTCTGTGAAGCCTGAAGTCAACTAAAGGGTTAATGATAGCTCTCCCATTTGATATAAATAAATAATAATGTCATTTCATGGTTTAGGAGACCTCAAAGCAGGAAGTGATCGTATTCAACAACTTGAGAAGTGAAATAAGACCTTTCAGTTACCAATACCATCATTAATAAATTAGAAGGAAAGAATCTCACATGGTTGTTTCATACTCTTTAACGCATATGAAATTCCAAAAGGACGTGGTCTCGATAGGAGATTTATCACCTTTTGCAGAGGTGAATATATTGATAAAACTTGGTCAAGTAAAACAGAAAGAAGCTCTTTCGTTCCCTCTGTAAAAAGAAGATCTCAATGCGTAAATATAAAAAAAATCAAGTTTAATTCGATTTGACGGGATTAGTAATCCAGTTTCTTCCAAACTTGGAACTAATCCCCTCGATAAATACACCAATGGCTGTTAATCATATTGACCTTAAACTCGTCCATCACCCATAAAAGATTTCACTGAAAGAACATGGAGCGAATTTCACAAACTAGTGCATTCTCCTATGCGTTATCACGCACATAAAAATGTTGACCAATTTACTAGCATGCGCCATCAATTGTCTAGGTGATTTTCATCTCTATCCCATTCAAGCCATTGTGGAGGTTTTTAGGCTGATTAGTCACCAAAATTTAATGGATAAACCGTTAAATAGAGTGCGTTGAAAATTTGCGCGTCTATAAAATTTGGTTTGTTGCATAAACAAGAAAATAGCTACAGTTATTTAATCGAACTGAAGCGCCCTATTAGTGCCACTTATCACAGCTGCGTTGAAATGCTAGCTATGGAGAGGGACATGCGTACAACTGTCCACCAACTTGCATCTCCAGAGATTTGAATTGATCGATGATTTCCATTCAAGCATTTACCTAGATTAGAGAATGAAGGCAGAACAGTGGTTTGGCCACTCTCGTGTCGGCATAATTTACGTGTCGCGTTATAATGTTCAGATGTTCACATCCATTCTTTGACCTCTACATTTCTACAAGAGTAGCAATCTTCAATGCTAAATGAAAAAAAATTGACTTGTGTGAATGATCACTCCAAGTCGATATATTTCTTTTTATTTCAATAGGATTGAATTGACAGTTGAATTTCGATCTGATGATTTTGTCACCTTTACAATTTTTTTTCAAACCGGCTATAGCTTTAGTATTCTTTGGGAACGCATATCATTTTATACATGAGATGGCCGAAAAACGTGTGGATTTATGAAAAAAAGCATCATATGTCGTATTCAATTGCACCGCCTGATTTTATGCCAAAATGCCCAATGGAAAGGCACATGAGGCTATCCAATCGCATTGCTTTGACCAAAGGAAAAACCAGCGCGCAATTTAAAACAGATCGGCAACACATATGCCTACACACTCAGGAGTCATTAAATGGCAATCAAGAGATTCTTGCAACAAATTATATTTCTTTTATTATCTGAATGAATGAATGAATACCATGGATATTGAAAAGGTACAGCTTGTTCCAAAGAAATCCCAATTAACGCCCCCTGAAGGTGATTGTAAACTAGCAAGAATCAATGAGGTAGAAGGTGGAGAGACGACTCCCATTACATCCGTTTTCCCAAACAATAAGTCTTTGGAAGAATTCTTATTTATTGAAACACCTCCTGATGCTCCTATGCCATCAACTTCCTCCTATGTTTCCTCTCGACCGTCGACTGCTGGTCCAGCTTCAAAGTCCACCCATGTAGAACGCATTCCCACGGACCCTTTAAGCGGTGTCTTCTATAAGGACTTCCCATCAACAAGTCCACTCCACGGTCCTATTAATACCAATCCAACAAGCATAGGCAATCTACCCCCTACCTATCATTCGGATACTAATTTAGCTACTCAAGCCGTCTCTTCACCAATTATCATTCGAACACCCTGTCAGACTGCTGAAAGTACTGCGGAGATTGTTCACCTTCCTCCTCATCCTCCTCCTCCTTCTCAGGGACCAAATACACATTTGAATGTTCGAGTTAAGGATCGAGGTATCTCCGCCTCTCTGGATGATTTACAAGATGTTAACTTTTGCCTAGCTCTTGAAAATCCACATAAAATAGACAACAATGATTCCTTGGATCCATCCACCTCTATGAAAAAACCCTTCATATTCAGGACGGTATCAGACTCCACGGAGGAAAGACCCATTTCTGATGCGGAAATGAAACGATTGAGGGAAAAAGGTGCTGCTGCGTGTTATAGTAATAACTCACGGCGTCGTTATTGCTGTGATGATGAAATGCCGATGCAACTTAAAGTAGGATCATTATGTGGCCGGTGCGCTTGCATTGAGGATGACTGTTCCTGTCGCAAGCACGCAGTTTCTGTGGCAAATTTACCAAGTTTGAGGAAGGGTCGTCGAACCCCTGGACTTGATGAAATTAGTTATGATTTCATGCGGGCTAGCGGAGCTATATCAGGTAAACCCTATTGGCAATATTTTCACCATCTACTTGTGTAATTACCGTTGTTTTAAGCAATTATTTCACTTTAATGAGCATTTGTTATTAAAAAGCGACAATATCGCTTTTCAAGGGAAAAGCGGGGGCTTTAAATTAAAACTTTTACAGTCCGTGGTAATTTTTTACATTTTGCATTTCAAAATTTTGGTCTTCTTCTCTATTTAAACCCCATATACACGCTGTACTATTTTTATTTTTCTTCTTGATTAAAGTTTAAAATCATATTTTGAATGTATAACTCAATTTAACAAGGAAGTCGGTGCAATAATGTTAGGATATTCTCCATACTTAATGAATTTTCAAGGCAAAATTTGATTCAGGTGAAGAAACCATTTTTTCTCAAGGTATTCTGATACACTTAAATACAAGTCGGCAAACTATAATGACTAAATTATATTGCATACTTCGCATGGTAACAGTAGTGAGTCTTTCATTTACCATGCTCATTTTAAATAACGTTGTTTGTAATGAAAAATTTTATCATTAAAATCTTTAGCTAAAACAGCTGTTAACTATATATAAGAGGATTCATAAACACATAGTTATAAATTTCAAAAAATATATAATCTACAGATGAAAGGTTTACATTTACTCATTTGTTAAAATAATTATTAGAATTTTAATTGACAATTAGATCTTGATTTCCATCTCCAACTAAACGTTTCTAAATCTTCTATTTAAAATTATTTGTACGTGGAATAAAAGGGTGCATGAAAGATTCATTTTTTGATAATTTGGAAGCAATTAAATCACCTACTTCAAATACATGAGCACATTTTTAGAATTGGCCATTGACAATCAGATAAATTTTAAATTTAATTTTATGATTCACTCAGTTCTGCTAATTGCTATACTTTTTTGTGTAATAAAACAACTGAAAGTTAATGCATTCTACGGAAGGCAAAGGAAATAGATAATTGACAAGAGCATTACTTAATTGGAATTAGCGAAAATATTCCAGACATTATCAACTGACAACTGTTTGACATTGACTCAATGAAAACGACCCAATCTTCAACTTGATTTTGTGTGTCACCTGTTCCTGGATTCTTAAGCCCATCAATTCCATTGTTGCTGAGACTTTATGTTGAGCACGATTTTCACTAATAAGGAACTTTCGGACAAGTTGCACCAGCGAGTTTCAAAGAATACTTATATTATTTGAATTCACTTCTCCATAAGCTCCATTACACAGTGGTCCCGGCAAATTCTACAAAAAGTTTGTCCATTTTAATTTCATTATTTTCAATACAGGTGCCCTCTATCTGACTAATTAACTTAACCTATTCTTTTTTATAATAAATAAAAGTCGAATAAATGCATCAGGAGAATAATTTAAGGCTTTTTTTAATAGATTAATCAATTTTTTGATGCCAGCTTTATTAACAGCCCTTCAATTCAAGCTGTGTGATTCGTATATTATTGTTGTGGAACACAATTTAAACAAATTAAATTTGATGCCTACCTAATTAATTAAATCACCGAAGTCTTGATTACTTCTAAAATCTCATCTGGAAAGCTCAAAGTCAATTGTCTAATTAGGACTTTAACTCAGAGACCTAAAAGGTAATTTTTTAGATTCTATCACTTTAACTTGTTATAGCATATTAAATTAATTAATTTAAGTTATGAAACCTTTCGATTGCCTACTCTACGTTTTTCCTGCTCACGTCAAATAAATCACCTTCTAGCCCAATCATTCAGGGGATATTTTTGTGGATAAAGTAGTCAGTGGAACTTCAATGTTTTACTGCTATATTATGATATATTATCTTATATATTTCCTCCTCTGATAACATTGCAAATACAAAATCAACAAGGACACTAATATTTATATGAAATGGCAGGCGTTTTGATAGTTATCATTAGCCCTTTAGATGCCTTCAGGCTTCACATAGGGGAGGAGGAACATAAAAGTGAAAAACGTCGAGATGGGGGAGGGGCAGGGACAGAAGAGTGTTCCAAAGATGTAAAAGGGACAGACAGAAAGTTGGAATAAAGGTGAGGTGAGTACGGTTGAAGTAGTCGAATTTGACTTACAGTGGGGTGATGGTAGTTTGGAGTCTGAAGTCAACTGCCGATTAATAGACTTTTTTGCTACATGAGTATACGTTGTGCAGGGTGCACCACGTGGAGGTAAGTCTATCGCCAACCCTTGGACACTAATATTGATTCTGCTTGCGGGTACTCGACTTTCAGTGTTTAATTTTTTATTATGGAAGCGAATTTTTTATACAGTCATGTTTAACCTGGGGTCTTAATGGTATTTTTACAAAAAAACAAATTCTTTTATCTCCTAAAGCTAAAGCCCAATGTAGAACAGTGATAGCAGCGTTATTCCAGAGAGAATTTTGACATAATGTTTCATCGCAAGACATGACTTTGACATCACGTCTCATGGGGGTGACTTTTCTTACATTTATAAAAGCCTAATTTTTAAGAATTTTTTTCTCTGCCCAAAAAATGTTGATTATATTCATTTTCTAGATAGTACCGTATTGATGCGATTTTTTTCTGAATCATTAAATTATGGTTCAAAACTATTTATGCCTACCTTACTGCTTTATATAAAATCTTGGATACATTATTAAACCAGAAGAAAATGGCGATTTTTTATCAAATGAACATTTATTTAACTAAACAGAACTAATGAAGACAATTTTTGGTCTTTCAGATGGCGATATATTTTATTTTAATACTAATTTCTGGATAAATCAATTTTATTTAATTAAAACTAAAGTTATTAACAGTCTGTTACATTCTGTATTTGCGAATTCATAAACCCTTGAAAAAATTTTTAAATAGAGAGAGATTTTTGCTATTTAGTCTCAGACATTAATAAATGTCTTGCCTAACATCCTAGAGAAAGTATTTTTCCGAAATGAGAGTTTATCGGATTGATGGAAGTGTGTGTTTGTGTGTGTGTGTGTGTGCAAGAAATGAGCAAGAATTTCCATGAGGACTGAATTCAAAGTTTGGATTCATTAACGAATTGCAAAATTACTGTAACAGTATCGATATTGTAACTTCACTTGATAACTGCAAAACCGTTAGGACGTTGGAAATATGGGCTTGGGCGTTTCAAATGTGCAGAACATCTTTGTATTCTGTGAGATAGATTGTGTCACAAAGAATTTATGTGCACATTTTGATGCAAGAAATTAAAGGTGCACTAAAGTGAATTTTTATGAAACATTTTCCCAGATAGCCTTTATGTTCTCTTTGTGCTTTAAATCAATCGAAAATCTTAAATTAACACCTTGTTGCTAACACCTACAACTAGCTTCAAATAACAATTGCCGGAATTGCAAATTTTGTTTCAGATTTTTCAAGATAGTTCTCATTTTATTCACTAAGAATTTGTCTTTATTTGCTTTTCAATGTCACTTAGGGTAGATTTTTAAAAGAGCATATTCTGATTGGCAGGAGAAACAAGCAGAATTAACTCGTACATGTTCTATATTATAATATTTTATTTACTTTATGTTAAAAAATTGGCTGATAAAAAACAATGTGTTAATTTATGCAAGATATGTTAGAAAATTTAGAAATTACTAAGTGGGAAAAAGGAAGCAAGATCGACCATTATCTTTTAATTTTAAGTTTTCGGCAGAGCGAATTTTATAATTAAACAAAATTTCAACCGATGTTATCTCCTCCTTTAAACTGAGATTTCAAAATTAAATGATCTTGCAATTTAAATCCTTGAGATTGGCAATGGCCTTCAGCTGGAACTTAGGTTTGAAGAGGAGAAAAGTTTGAATGTTGAAATTTATTCCCCTTTCCCAAACCTCGTTCTTTCAACTCCTAAGTTACTCTAGTTCACTAACAGAGCCGCCATTTTAAGTGTCAAAGCAAATGGCTTAAAATTTGAACGCCGATTTGTGACTCAACATATTATAGTATGCGAACTTACAGTGGGGGGGTATTTTAAATCGTATTGTTCAGGAGACTGCAAAGAAAATTTGTAAATAAAACGTTCATTGCCACCTTTTCCAGTACGAAATGATTCATTATTGAAAAGTTTGCAGAAGAAAAGCGTTTTTCATTATTTATTTGAAAATTGATCCTTAAAATAAATTAAATTTTAATTTTAGCTTTCTTTTACTAAAACATTGCGCCACTTACACACATGTATTACGAAACCTAAAAGAATATTATTGTCATTAACTCGAATCATTATATACTTTACTTGAAAAATTCATTGCTTTCAAATTGTACATGCTCAGCACCATTGAGGAAAGAATTAGCCAAATTTGCTGCGGTTTAAAAAGGTATAAAAATGCGATGCCCATAGGGGACTAAATGACTCTCTTCAATAATGACAACAATAAATTTCATTTAACTTTTAGATAAAAGATGATTGTACGAGTATTATTTTTACAAAGTGTGTTTTAAACCTCTGGTCAACAATATATAAGTTCTGTGGAGACGTGAAACGATGACGACATCTCGAGGGATTTGCAACTCCTCAACTAGTCAGAATTGTATTTTTTTTCCGAAATCGAAAGCATTTACCATTAATTGATCATTACATAAATAAAGGCAATTTTCGACAATTTTAATATTAAATCATTAATCTCATATTTTTGTCGCATTTTAAACTTATTGATCACGAAAATTGACCTTCTCTTCACAATTATTGTCCAAATTTAATTACTTCAACGAATTTTTCGGCATTTTCTTATATTTTGTTTAAATCTCGTTGGTCAAATAAAAATTTATGAATTTCGATGTCTGGGATAATTGAGATTCATTTGGAACTTAAAACCGCCACTTCATTTTCGGAAATTAGTTTTGGCGCCATAAACTTGCCTGAAGTAAAACCCACGAAATTATTTAGTGAACATTAATTCTGTTAAGTAAATAACTCTTTTAATCGAATTTAGTAATAATTCACCAAACCCTGCTCAAATTGTGTAATTATGGAGTCATTTTTAAAGCTCCGAAAACTCCCATCTTTAACTGATGGGAAATAATATCTTTTCTGAACCGACAAGAAAAAGGACGACCATATTGAGCCAAACTGTTAATCTCCATTGGCAGGTATTTTACTGATCAAATAGTTTTCACCACAATCTAAATCGGACTTGTGCCCTATTCGTCTAATACGTCTTTAAATGAAGGAACACATGCCAAACCAGGTTTTCAAACCAAAATATTGATTAAAAGTCACTCAGTAAAGTAATAAACGTTTTCAATCGTTATTGAAAACGGTTCATAAAATTCGATTCTTCTGGCGTCTGCAGTAATTAAAAACTTATGGATACTATTAAAGGAAAATTCTAGATTGCCTCATTGCGTATTGCGTAATATACTGAACATACTATTATTCACTGCAGCGTTTTAATATTCGAATTTAATGAAATTCCTCCTAGGTTCTTGAGTAAGAATCCACTGACCGACGATCATTCTCCATGAGACTGTGAAATGGACAGGTATTATCTATCTAGAAAGTTAGATAAACGTCCTTAATAAAATTAAACTATTTGAACATACGTCTTTTTTTTACTTTAACTTAAAATAATACACTAGAAATGTAAAATAGTAAACCCCCCGTCTCTCCCCAAAAAAGAACGCTTAAGGCAGTCGATGTCTCGAGAAGTTAGATTTCATCCGGTTGCTAAAATTATTCCTTTCAGTAGGGCTCGTTTACTGGTTACATAACACTACAAAACGTTTAAACGCTATATTTAGCTGAAAAAATCGTTCCCGTTCGAAGTTGTCTGAAATTTTCATATGAATGCCTGTGAAAACTGCTCGTATTCCTTAAGGATTTATTAATGATCGAATAAAAAATTAAGTTTGCTCACATAAGATGGCTCTGCATTGGGAAAAAATCAATGATGAATATTGAGAGTTAAATAATTTAAAATTTGTGGGATTTTATTTATCTCTCTGTTAATCCCATTTATAGAAGCTAATATTCAATCCAAAATAAAACGAAAAAGGGTCCTATATATAACCCAATTTAATTAAATGTATCATTATCTATCAAGCATATTACTGAAACAGTTAGGTAAATTCAATGATGGTATTTTTACACTTTTAGTTATGATTTATGATTATTGCAACATAATTGCCCCATTTAAATGGTCTACACTAATGGATATTCTCTTTTCCATTATAAAGGGCAGTATTATTTTTTATTTTTTAATTACATATTAAAGAGAAAAGTTGAGCAGCTATAACAAATTTCTTGAATTATAATTTGTAGGCTTTTCTCAGCTGCGCAGCGTCAAGGGGATTAAACATGATCGTGAGAAGCAGGAATTAAGTTCAGCCCTCTCTCCGGCTTTAGCTGCAGGACTAGATACCCACGGGGCTGTGGCACTCTTAGCGGCTAGCACCAGGCCCCGCTTAATTGCTAGTATGCGCAAGAAGACAGCGAAGGCGCATTCCTCCCAGGAGGAAGTTCCAACAACTCAAAGATCTACTACTTGGACCAATAGTTTTGACAGCGGAAGCAATGTGCAATCCGCCACTGAAGAATATTCACGTTGTGGACCGCTGAAAGCAGAGGAGATACCTTCTGTTCCACCAACGAGTAAACAGTCCTCTCTTGCAAATAGACCCACAACTCACAGAGGTAGTATAACTCTAGAAACTGGTTCTGGGACAAAGGGTTACAAACTGTCAACCGGTGAATATGAGGATGGCATGAATATGCTTGCCTCTGAAAGAAGTTGCACAGAGCAGGAGGCCACAGAAGATCAAGACGAAGACACCCTGACTAACAGCGATATGACTAGGCCGAAACGACCCTATTACTGTCAGAAGGCACAGCAATTCCGAACGAGTTGGAGGACACAATCCGTGGACACGCCATCAAGCATTATGAATTATGGATTATCTCAAGATAGAGCTCTAACTATGGTGGAGTCGCAATCAGATAGTGAAAGTATGAGCCCTGGAAATGGAATTGGGCAGGACAGGAATGCTCAAGTGAAAGTGTATCTGACAAGAGGGTCACGAAATCCCGTAAAAACCATATTGGTAAATCATAATGCAAACCCTATGGCAGCAAATGCTGACAGACTTCGAGCAAGAAGGCAGCGAACATTTTCAAACCGTAATCAATGGCGATCTGTACAACTCTCACCTTCCCATGACACAGAAATCGATAGGAGGGGAGACGAGAGGTCGTATAACGCATCACTACGTGAAAGTCGGGAGTCCTATGTTGGGAATCGTGGCAATATCAAACCACCCTCTAATTTTGGATTTAAAAAGCCTCTCTTTTGGAGAAATAGGAGTGGCTCGCCTTTCTTTAACTCCATGGCTTCTATCACTGATACTACTAAAATGGGACAGTCGACCAAATCTTCCGAAGTTGGTCCAACCTCCATTCTTAAAGCTCAAATTTCAAATAAACCCTCGGAGATGAGAAGTGATGAAGACGCCACATGCTTAGAGCCCATATTTACTATTCGCCAGCGTCGGTAAGTAGATCGATTTTTTGCCTTCATATGCTTCTAAATTTATCTTTGGTAGGGTCATGAAACACTAATGCTTCCCTTTCAATAATAGTTTGACACCGTTTGGAGACAGGATAAACAGAGGGGTATAGAAACAGGCTTTGCATTCAGTTCCAATGGATGCGCACATTTATTCGAAAGATAAAAGCACCCTTCATTGTGAATTGTGTTTGCATGAACTAATCATTTAAATGAATAACCCAAATGGAAGATGCAATATTCATTAGCCTCAAATGAACTTCACTTGCTTTATCTAATCTTGGCCTCTATATATGGGGGTACTCCTACAAATTTGTGGACAATCGATAAGTTTAACTAATTTATTTAGGTTAACGGTGCTTAATTATACCGAATAATAGGTGTTTACGATTGGTTTCGTAATAAGTTGTTGACCTTGTTTTGAATGGGCAACTTTATTTATAGTACGTTGTGTTCCTCCAATTATCATAACATTTATTGGTTATGACAGCACGTAAATTCATTAAAAGTACCACTTATGGGTAAATCTGAAAGCACAGAGTGGAAAATTAGTTCTGTGATAGGTAAGACGGATAATCGAGTCATGAAGTAGCTTGTTAGTTTTGGATTCGATCGTGTCCTTGAGGTTGGAAGTGTGTGGATTAGCTGATTTCCATTAAAGAGTTGTTCATTCCAATCATTTGTTCCGCCAACTGACGCGAGTATGCTAATGTGAACAGTAAATAAATTTAACATTTACCAAAGTCCCCAGCTTCGACTTATGCCAAACTCCTAGCAAAATGGATCGAAAAGTGTGCCTTTGGATTGGCCATCTAAAGTGGCAGGGATTAGACAACAAGAGCATACGTTTCTTAACAAAGACTTTTATTGATCAAGTAGACCCAGTCTCTAAAGATTGTAAAATGTTGTTTATTTACGCGAAGTTAAATTACAATTTGTCCAAAAACTTCATACTGAATTGAATTTGTTTTCCGATCGCTAGTTGCTACCCTTGTAGCTTCAAAGCAAAGAAATATTTTAAGTATTTAAGAGTGTTGTGTTGGGTTGGAACGAAAGGCGGACTGTCAACACACCACTTCATTTTTATTGTTGCAGAAAGATTGATACTTGTAAGCTGAATTCAACATTACTCCAAAATTCTAATGGAAACCACATTTCATAATTTTATTATTACATTATCATAGTGATGTTATGACATGTTTCTTTTTTTGTGATGAAATAAAAGCATGTTTTTCAACTTTGCTCTTATGTTTGAAACCCAATAACCGCTTAAAAGTAAATGACAAAATATCGAATAATCTACTTTTACTAAATTAGGCTGCAAATATTGCTTTCTTCAAGTTTAAAATTAAGTTAACAGTATGTTAATTTGTTTACCTGAGGACAAATATCCTGCCCTATCTCCATGAAGAGAAATTGATATTGGATGATTGAGAGGCAATTTGCTGTGTAGATATCTGTCATTAGCTGTCATTAATGCAGCGTTTTAAAACTCTCTAATTCCCCTTTATAATGCCTAAGCCACTCAAACCCGAAGAGTAGAATGAGAAATACTTTCATCTCAAATAAAGTTCCTTTTTATTAAACGAAGAATTGAATCTTTAATAAAAGATTAGTTAATGTGTTAGCCCATAATTGCAGCAAAAATCTGTTCACATGCTACCCCTCTTGTCTAAGTGTGAGTATGGCAATCCAAAAATCGATAATAGCCTGGATTAAAGACAAAGTTAACAGAAATGCCAATAATATTCAATTAAAACTCCATATTCCAAGACATATAGCCACTCTTAGTGAATTTTAGCAATATTATACTAAAAAAGTGACAAGTTTTCTTGTTACAACTTCAAGACGGTATTTCCTCTCGTTTTTTGTGTGTGTGCAGGATTCAAGCAATGCGGAGACACCGCAGTAGCTATGCATGCCACAATGTTGGATATCGACTTGGACGAAGGAAACAAATGTTTCAACAAAGAAGTTTAGTATCCGACTATTGTCTTGGCTTTGCAATTCTTGGAATACTTCTCATGATTGTTGAAAATGAGCTCACCTCTACAAATGTTATAACAAAGGTAACCAATGCATTTTACATTTTTTTCCGATACTTTAAACTAAAACCCTAATCACCAGGATTATTATAATGGACTGGAAACTGGATTAATCGTAATTTTATGCGTTTTTTATTCTTACTTATTTATTTACTTATTTACTTTTTTACAACCTAATAAAATATGTAATCTTATAGAGATGGTCAGTTTAAAGTTGAAAAAGAGGAAAAAAAGTATAAAATAATAGAGAATGCAAAAGTTAATGAGAATAATGGCAGTTTCAACTCTTCACATGCAAACTCAATGGCTTTTGAAAAGTTCTCAAAGTAAATATGATTTTGTATCTTTTCAGCAACATATTGCTAAATTAATGGCAAAATTTAGAATAAATATTCAATCACTTAAAGGATTATTATTGATGTTGGTTTTTTGGACATCAGTAATGTTTCAAATGCAATTTTGGGCAAATAATTTTAGGTGAAAACGTTTTGAAAATTCTTCGAAGAGTCCTATAAACCATCCTTTGCCAGGTGTTTGCAAAGAAATACATTTTAGGTACTTTTTGGTAGATATATTTTGTATAAATCTACTATCTCTTTGAAAAATGATTTTAACATTTCAATTATCTCGAAAGTTTTTCTTCTGTTAACTTATCTACCTAATAAAAGAGGTTATTATTTTTTATGCTTAACGTCGATCTATATGGTGCTTGCAATAACTTCTAGTTTTGCAATTGATTGACATAATTAGGAAGCACTCTTGCTAGAAAGAATGCATGTAATATATGATTTTCTTTTAATATTGAAATTCTTCATAAAAATTGTCTTACATTTTTTTTAACCTATTAAGGTTCGAAATGTCTTGAATTTTATGGGACAGTTATTGGCAGTCCTCATCGATTTGGGTATAATATGTCATCGTGATTCATCACAATATCTCCACCATTGATCAACTGGCTTCCAAAATCGATAAATTGATTATAAATCATTCCTTATCTGTAAATAACCTTGTCCTTGAAAGCATGCAGCCTATTGTTTGCAGTATATAAATCCTCATATAATTTACTCTTGAAATGGTGATAAAGACTCAACTCATTAAACGATTTATTTGACAAATTCATTTTTTTAAATTGCAGTTTCTAAACTCCATTAAGGACAGAATTAGACAAAGTTGTTACGGTTTATTAAAGTAGCAAAATGCGATGCCCAGAGGAGACAGAAAAATCATCTTTAAAATTAACAAAAACAACTTTCATTTAACTATTTGAAAAATAAATGTACGAGTTTTATTCTCCAAAATGTGTTTTAAAAGTCTGGTTAATTATACAAGTTTTGAAGAGACGTGAAACGAAGCCACCATCCCTAGGGAGTTGCAAATAGGAAGCTAGTCAAATGTTCATTTCATTTCTTTTTTCATATTAAAAAACGACAATTAGTTACCAGTAATTTGTCTTTATATAAGTAAAGCCCGATGTAGTAAATTTTAATGGCAAAGCAATGGGCAATTATTTAAACATCTGAATTTATGCCTAGTGAGATTTGCTTTCGTAACCTTTGAAGAAAAGTGCTAAATTGAAATGGAAAACTTATCATGACATAATAACAGGACAAACCCACTGTATTTCAAAAACTAGATTATATATGCTAATCCGAGTGTGGAAATGAGAAGTTTTAATTTCTGAAAAATTCTATTTGTCAATAACTGAACCTACTGCTAAAAATTTTTAACTATTTTCTTTTGATTAAATATTCAATTATTTATTTCACTGGGTAGTAATAATAACATCCTTCTGGACTGTGTGCTGAAAATCTAATTGTCATTGATTATAAACGATTTATTAAGAAATAAAATAAGTAACTGGCGAATAAAATAAATGAAACAAATTTAGAAATGTAAATAATTAGAGTTTTATGGAAGACAATGAGTACAATGACATAGCGGTTTAAGCTTTTTCACATTTCTAAATAGTAGCAAAATGATAGCGCTTTGATAATTTTGTTTATGAAAGCAATTTTGTTTTTGGTAACCTCATGAAATTTAAATTGTTTTTTTTGACAAATTATAATTGAAAATAAGTCTTTAAAATTTATTAAAAATAAATTAACACTTTCAAAATTATCAAATTGGAGAGGAATTTGAGGTACTTGAAATTATTGTATATTTATTTATTTATTCATTTCAAGTGGCATGCGTTTTGATGGTAATTATTAGCCCTTTAGTTGACTTTGGGCTTTACAGGGAGGAGGAGGAACTACAAAGTGATAAAAAGTCGAGAGGGGGGGATAGAATAATGATTCACAGATGTAAAAGAGACAGACAGACACAAAGGCAGAGAAAAGGTAAGATATGTAATATAAAAGACGTCGAATCAGACATACAATCGGGTCATGGTAGTTTTAAGTGAGAAATCAACTGCCGGTTAATAAACTTTGCCCAGGGTGCACCACGTGGATGTGAGTATATCGCTCACCTAATTGAATATGCATAGCGACTAAGTCTTCCTAAATTCCTATCTATGTCCCTATTTGAGCTTATTTCGTCAATGTCCAGAAGACATTGAATAATCGTGTAAATTAAGACATGAGTTATCGTATTTCAATGCCGTTGTCCTCCTAGGT